GATGCAGGAGAGGACCTGGGGGGCTTCTGTGATCTATTTTGCTACTGCAAATACTAAGAATAGTTAACATAGCAGCATAATAACAAAGCTTTCTATTATTGTAAGGAATATTTGCATATGGCTTCACAGTTTATTTTGGGAGGGTGAAAGAGTGAATGCTATCCCATCAACCTCCTCCAAAAATTCCTCAGGGCTTTTAATCATGTTAATAGAAGGTGCAAATGGCAGCCACCGCTGGTTGTTCACCAATAACCCCCTCTTCTGGACCAAAGAGCCCCCATTTTGTTCAAGTGTCAGGTGAACTCTTGCTTCCCTGAGGCCAGCTCCATCCAAACCCCAGGGGTGAATTGTGATAGGTCTAAATCATATCAGATTGGCCTGGGCAAGGCCATGTGTGCAATCCTGGCCAATGAGACCTGAGGAGAGGTCTGACGGGGTGCTTCCCTAAAGACTTTCCTCTGTCTTACAAAGGAAGCATTCTGTAGGTGGGTGGAGCTGCTGTAGCCATTTTGCCACCTTGAGGGAAGCAGCCAACACCTGAGGACAGATGAGTGGAAGGATAGAGGGAACCTGGGTGCTTGACCTGGGGTTTATTTCATTTAGCATCTAGTCTTTAACTCTTCTAGTGCTTAATGCTCCTACCCACCTCAGGACCTTTGTACATGCTGTTTTCTTTACCCACAGCACTGTATTTCCCTTCTCCACATAGTTGCACCTGCTAGCCCCTCAGATCTCAGTGCAAACATTGTCCAATAAAAACAAATCTGGACGTAGATAGGGAGACACGTTCATTAGAAAGAAAGGCTACTGCAACACAGTACTCGAACACACCAGTCTCAGAAATCTTTGAGCATCTCAAAATCAAGAAGAGAAAGGTTTTTCTCTTTTAGGATAAAGGAGGAGGCAAGCAGAATCTATGGAGGGGAGACAGACAAGCAATGGGAAGTGACAAATGGGATCTGATAGGAAAAACATCTGGCTTTAGTCAGCCAGTAACCAGGAGAAGCTGATAAGGGGAGGCACATTCTACTTTTTCGGTGCTTGCTCAGGCTTGGGGCAAGCGGAGTCCAGGGGCCTGTAGGAAAGGGAGAAGCCTGACTGAAGTTTGGTTGAGACAGAGCAGATGGTAAGAAGGGGGCAACTGTGAACACCTGGACAACACCAATTCCTCAGAGAAGCCCTCCTTTATTCACCCAACTTGGACCCTAGAGCCAGACTGCCTGGATTTAAATTCCAGCTCTGCCACCGACTAGCTGTGCAACCTTGCATGGGTTCCTTAACCTTTCTGTGCCTTGGTTTCCTCACCTGCAAAATAGTGACAAGAAAATGACGTATCTCACAAATTGTCATGGGGATCAAACGAGTTGAGCAGGTCCCTGGCACATGGTAAGTGCTTCACAGACATTAGCTATGGCAATAAGATCCCACCCCTGGGCATTTCCTCCATAGCACTGTCTCCCCCACTGGACTGTAAAGTCCTTGACAGCAGGAATGGGGACTCTCTTGCTCACAACTGAATCCTCAGTACTGGTAAAGAGGCTATTGCAGAGAAGACTCTTAATAAATTTTTTTAAACGTCTTTTATTGAGCTATAATTCACACACCAACGAATTTACTCGTTCGAAGCATACAATTCAATGAGTCTAATATTTTTAAAATGCATTCTAGCATGCAAAGAGGTGATGGCATTGGGGGAGAAAGGTGAGAGAGCATGAAGCCTTTAGCCTGCAGATGGGCAGTGACAGGCAGAACCCCTGCCCCAGACAGCGCTTTCACTGTTCTTCCACAGGGAAGGCGACGCAGTTTCTGTACACGCCTCTCGCCTGTAGTTTTCAGTACGTTGTTCGGGGCCCTAGTGGCCAGTGTTAAGGTCGTTTCTCCTGCTGAGCAGGTCTGTCTCCTGCTCCCAGGCAATGAGGGTTTTTTCCCTGCACTGTGTTTCTTTGCTTTCCTTGACCTGGGGTTCTTGGCATCAATTTCTTCTCATTTTGTTCTTTTTCTTTGGGTGCCTTTATAAGTCTGGATGCTAGAAAACCCAACTTAAAGAGCCTAAATCGGGCTTCCCTGGTGGCGCAGTGGTTGAGAGTCCGCCTGCCGATGCAGGGGACACGGGTTCGTGCCCCGGTCTGGGAAGATCCCACATGCCGCGGAGCGGCTAGGCCCGTGAGCCATGGCCGCTGAGCCTGCGCGTCCGGAGCCTGTGCTCCGCAACGGGAGAGGCCACAGCAGTGAGAGGCCCGCGTACCGCAAAAAAAAAAAAAAAGAAACAAGTTGATATCTTGTGTCTGCTCCCCAATGAAAGTTCATTTGTAAGGTATCCTTGTTCAAAAAAAAAAAAATCCTGAATTCTTATGAAGCTCTGGAGCTAACTCCCAATTAACAGGAAGTATAGGATTAGAGATTGGTATGTTAAATGATTCTCAGAGATGCAATGAATGAGAACAACCCAGAATGTGGGGCTCTCTGCAGGGAAAATGACCCTATTTCCTCAACAAATAAATTGCCAAGAGAAAAAAAGAGAGAACGAAGAGGAACCTATAGTTTAAAATAAACTTGCAAGACATGTCAACCAAAAAAAATAGAAAGAGATAAATGACAATCACTCAGCAACTATTTATTGAGCACCTACTACATGTCAGGTACCAAACTAGGTTCTGGGAATACACTGATGAGCAAGATAAACACAGTCCCTGCCCTCATGTAGCTCATGGTCTATAGAGAAAGCATCGTGGGAGTTCAGAGGAGAAAAAGAGAAGAATACCCATCTTTGAGGCTATAGGGAAGAACGATCTCCTTCCACTCTCTGTTCCATTCCTAGTAGAGCATCAACCTTGTGGAGAAAAAAGGGGGAAGGGGACTTCCATGGTGGCACAGTGGTTAAGAATCCACCTGCCAATGCAGGGGACACGGATTCGAGCCCTGGTCTGGGAAGATCCCACCTGCCTCAGAGCAACAAAGCCTGTGTGCCACAACTACTGAGCCTGCTCTCTAGAGCCCATGAGCCACAACTACTGAGCCCGTGTGCCACAACTACTGAGCCCGCATGCCACAACTGCTGCAGCCGCGTGCCACAACTACTGCAGCCTGTGTGCCGAGAGCCTGTGCTCCGCAACAAGGAGAAGCCACCGCAATGAGAAGCCCGCGCACCGCAACTAGAGAAAGCCCTTGCACAGCAACAAAGACCCAACGCAGCCAAAAAAAACAAACAAATAAATAAATAAATTTATTTTAAAAAAATGGGGGGGTAGGAGAGAGGAACACAAAATCTCAAAAGAAATGATCAACTATACCTCAATTTAAATAAATTTTTTTTAAAAAAGAAAAGTAATGAGGGGTGGCATCTCTTCGTTCAGCAAGCATTTGGAGAGGGGATTCAAAAATAACGACAGGGTCCAGACTGGGATAGACCATTAAGGTTCCTGGCAACCTGAGATTCTAGTCCCTGTCCAACTTTTACTAAATAATCCTCGAGCATAAAGTGCCAAGCACTGAGCTAGACCCTGGAAATACAGCTGTAAATGAGCCACATTTCTTGCCCTCCAGTAATTTATAGGCTAATGAGGCAGACAGACAAGTAAGAAATTCCCGTACCATGTACTAAGACCAGTGATAAGAAGAAGCACAGAACGAGATGGGTCACTAGGTAGGCTGGGACCAGATGGCAAGTGACATCTACACTGAGCAGTGACACAGGACAAAGTGGAGTCAGAAAGGGGGTGGAGTGTGGCATGTGATCCAGGTTTGAGGGAACAGTTTGTACAAAGCCCTGGCAATGAGAGACCCTAGGATTGCAACAACACTGGTTTAAGAGTTGTGCCAATCAACACCACTAAATTGCTAGCTATATTGCTAAATTCCTCACTGCTCATTCCCAAGTTCAGGAAGGGTTCTGAGCATGGGCACAACCTAGGGACAAACTGAGATTGACTTCATTTGCTAACCCCCAGAGCGCCAATCTGACTAGGCTAGCTTAGTCCATCATCAACACTTCACTGTGGGTATTTATATGCTTCTCCTGTCACTCATTCTGTCAATCAGCAAGCCCTGTGCTAGACTCCAGAAGGAGAAGAGGGCTCCACCTGGCTCCCCTGGGAGGAATGGGGAGTGTCCTCCACATCTCTGAATCCCACACAGACTCCAGTTCAGTGCTTGGCATACAGAGGTACCACTGAGTCTACTCAACATAGAAGTAAAAGCAAAACTCATCTGATGGCATAATTACTATCTCAACCCACGTCCTCTACATTTCCAGCCCCTACTCCCAAACCTTCTACCGCTGCACATCAGGGCACTTCTCCCCACTCTTTGAACTCTACCGCTTGTAAATGCCACGTTGCTCAGCGCAGACGCAGGTATAGCTTTGTAGGTAAAAGCAGAAGCTTCGGATTCACAATAATCGGGGTAGAATCCTTTTATTAGCGTTATGATACTGAGCAAGTCACTCACCCTGCGGCAGCCTCAGTTTTTTGTCCGTAAGATGAGAATAATAACAGCTCTTTCACAAGGGTTCGTTGAATGAATGCAACTGGGCTGAACTGAGTAGTAAGTGGCACAATGTAAGGGTATTATCATGTTGCTTGGCATATATAATGCACTCAATTAATGGCGGCTGTAGTAGAATGTTTTAATGATGTATAGAGTGCGGTAGATGATGATGATATTGATGACGATGATGATGTAGGACGGCCGGTTGTTCGTCGTGTAATTCACTTTCTGGAGTCACAGCAACCCCGCCAGCCCACACAGCTTCCAGCGGCAAGCCTGGGATCCACAGTACCTCCGGACTCGGTCCAAGCCCAGACCTCTCTGGGGAGCGCCAGCCTGCGTCACCCGCCTAGCCCTCCGGCTCCTCCCCAGCGAGCCCACACATGGTGGGAACGTGAGGGGACGGGGCCAGACTGGGCGCCTCAGAGCCAATCGCCGGGCGAGAGGCGCCCAGCCAAGAGAAGATGGGATCCAGGTCCAGGGGGCGGGGACCCAGAGAGGAACGGAAGTGTCATAGGTCACTGGGCGGGCTGGGGGCGGAGCCCACGGTGTCTATGGGGGCGGAGCAGCGGTGGCCAGAGCAGTCAGGGCGGTGATGGCGACGGCTGTGGCTACCTCGGCAGTGGCGGCCCCGGCGCCAGCGGCCCGCGCGGAAGGCGCCTCCTCAGTGCATTGGTTCCGCAAGGGGCTGCGGCTCCATGATAACCCGGCGCTGCAGGCGGCCGTGCGCGGGGCGCACTGTATGCGCTGCGTTTACATCCTCGACCCTTGGTTCGCGGCCTCCTCCTCAGTCGGGATCAACCGATGGAGGTGAGGGGGCCCGGGGCGGGTTCGCGGGCCCGGGGGACGCAGCCTAGCCTCTGGGGCACCCATCCTCGGAAAGGGAGGCTCTGGCCCCAGTCCCCTCTGCCGAAAGGCCCCGGCCGGAAGGAGGTGGGGCAGGGGGACGGAGCCGAGTCTCCAGAGGGGAGAAGTCGGGAAGAGGGAAGCAATTAGTCCCCGTAGTAATAGCCTGGGTGGACCAAGGCTCAGCTTCTGACACCGCGCGCTCGCACTGCGTGTTACCCTCTTTGGTCCTCACGACATTCCTGTGGGACAGATCATGATCCCCATTGTACAGATGAGACTCTTGAGCCCTAGAGACACAAAGTTGACGTGCTCAAGGAGTTGCAGCCAGTGAGAGGCAGAACAGGGACTCCTTGTCTAAGGCTCTTAGGGGTGTACTGGGGGCGGGGGGAGGGGGAGGACAGGAACTGTTGTGGTGTGAGGGCAGGGATGGGTTTCTGAATTGATAGCACGGCAGATGCCTGCATTCTTCAAGTAAAGAGCGCATTGCTGTGCTCCTGAAGGTCATCTGTAAGCCTGTGGTTTGTCTGAATCCATTTTTTCAACCATCCTGCCTTCCCTCCACCAAGATCATTCTGTTTCTGGAGGCGTCTAGAGACTCTGGCTTAGCATTAGATAGGGCAAGTGCCGTCTCCCCTTCATTATAGATAAAGACCTCAAGGGCATGTTCAGTTAGAGGCACTTTGTGTCCGGAGCTGGAGAGCAGAGAGCAGTACTTAATCCATTTTGGAGAATTCCCTCAGCAGCTATGGGCTTGCTAGAGGAAAAAAAAAAAAAGGAACCAAAGTGTCCCTTCCTCCTCTTCTCATGAGATTGTTTTTAAAGGACGGTTGAGCCATTATAGATTAGATGTTTATCAACTGATGTACTAAGATTAGGGACCAGGAAAGCTGTGATATCAAGGGTCCCTCTTTGATGATTCCCAGGAGATGGAGTGGACAGGATCATGGGAGAAGATTAACAGATAGGCAGTTGATGGGTTTTCTCTTTAACGAGTGTTTAAAACCAAGGAGTTCTGAGACCTTGTGTTCCCATCTCTCTTTAACACGCCCCTCGGTAGTCCTTTGGTTTGTTTGCATCGTTTTGGAGCATGTGTGCTTGTGACCTTGTTGCTCGAGAGGCAGGGTTATTCCCAGGATATGCTGGCTCTCCACCATTCTTTCCTCACCAAGGTGTGTGTGCCCTGCTAGGAGAGTGAATGCCCCTAGCAGTGGATCTATTAAATGCCCCCCCTCCTGACCCATTTATATTGAGGGAACAACTAAAGATAGTCCTGTGGAGAGCCTGCCCACACAATTTTCAGCTGCTCTATTGCTCTGCCTCTGCTTCAGTTTCTATAGATAGGAGGTTGGGTTTGACAAACATCCTCAAATGACCGGCCATCCCTAGCATGGACTAAGCCTGAGACTTTGCCCCTCTCCCAGTGGCAGTGTGCCAGTCAGAGCAGAGTAAATAGAATGCAGGCTGCTTGCTTGCTGCGTTGTCACGGAGTTTCTCCTTTTTGGGGGTTTTGGAGGACATTGCATGGACTGCCTACTCCTCTGTGGTAGTGGAAATTACAGATCAACAACAAAAACTCTGTTGCTGATTAAACTCAGATTCGCTAGAAACTAGGAGTTTTGTGGGTCACCCTTTTGTGATTGTGCTTTTGAGTGAGTGAGAGAGAGAAAAGGAATGTGGCAGTTCAGATGCCTGTGTCAAATCCTGAAGTCAGAGACTGTGTAGGAATGCAGATGTTAATTGAGCAATTATTTAATGAGTGCCTAATATCTGCCAGGCACACTGCTAGGTGCTGCTAGGGAAATAGCAGTGAACAAGCAGATGTGGTGTCCAGAGCTCCTGGAACCTACATTTGCATGGCGCAAGACAAGTAAACAACCTTAATTTAGTAGAACTAATGCCATGAAGTAAATAAAATAGGGGGACAGACTAGAGCAGTGGTTCTTAACCTTGCTGCACATGGGAATCATTTAAGGATCTTTAAAAGATGTCTGGGCCCCCTTCTCTCCCAATTCTGATTTTATTGTTCTGGGTTATGGTCTGGGCATTAGGGTCTTTAAAGGTGTGATGTGCAGCAAAGCCAGAGAAGCACTGGACTAGAGAACCCCAGACCTGAGCCCGACAGCTTGGGATATGTATTGCAGTGCATTGGCAAGAAGTCTGATTTGTTTTGGCATCCGAAGAAAGAGGTGAAATCACACAAAACAGATCAAATACGATAACTGCTCCTGGAGCTGGGCACAGACACATTCGTACCAGCCCCGCCATATTCTTTGCTCCCAGGTTCAGAGCGAGGGCAGAACTGCAGACTGTTTTGTGCACTCGGTTGGGTTTTGGGGGAGTGATGGAGCCAGCTGTACCTCTGTGTAACTACAATATGTGTAATCTTCCAGTGGCTGTTTCTGGATCTGGAAGTGACCTGGGAGAATTGTGCTGCAGTGTAACATTCTAGCTCTGTAAATCTTTCAGTTGCTGCCTCTGAGAAGCCTCCCTCAGAAGAGTGGGCCCTGGGCCATCTGCAAGAGGTGGGGGGAACCAAAATCTGTATCTCTGTTATCCTCCTGCACTTCCTACACTGACTCCCACACAGCGTTTTTCAGCAGAAAAATCAGATTAAAATAACCATGAATGGCCCTTCCTAAGAGTAAAAGTGGACAGAGAAAGGCAACCAAGAACATGTACATTTATTAGCATAGTTAGAAGGGCTTGCATACTCCTTGCCTTGGTGGTAGTGGGAAGTTTATAGGCTAATTGTAGCATTTGAGCCTCAGGACTTTTTTTTGCCAAGCACTAGTTAGCTAAACCCTTTGCCGTTTTCCCCAGCCCCACCTTCCCCAGATTTACTGCGTCTAGAAGGAAGTACTGTAGTGAGAACCATAAAAAAAAAAGAGGGGATGTGAGCCCCTTCTAGATTTAAAAATGGCCCTTGCAGTTTTTCATTACCTTTCTCTCCCTACTGCAACCCAGATGGGTCTTGGCAACAATTCACCTCACCCTTTATTTATGTCATTTTCTCCTTGGCTCTGTGCTACACCTGTATTCAGGAACTTGGGGGCAGAAGGAGTTGGTAGAAATAAAATATCAGCCCAAATCACTCAGAACTAGTGAATGAGATGACCTGGGAACTCCCCAGCATGCCTGGTGAGAACAAGTGAGTCTCTCTTCCCAACGCCGGGAGCTAAACACTGGTGGACTGTCCAAGATGGGTGGTTCTTCCCTGGAACTTGGTCAGCAAGAAGGTCTACAGGCAGGGAAATTTGAGTTTCTCTGAGTTGTTCACACTGGTACCCAAGAGTCACTTTATTGTTCTGCTGCTGAGGAAATGTTTCCATTTGCCTAAAAGGGATGAAAACTTTCACATTCATCTTTCTCTTTGAAATTAGGAAAGAATAAACATATTTTTAGCCAAGTGATACGTAGAGATCAATCCCTGCTATGGATTGTGGGTTTGGGTTATCCTTTTCCATGGGGCTTAAAGCGCTCTTAATTACTTAGGAGAAATTAATTTATATTAATAGCCTATGTAGCCAGTCTGGGCTGGCCAATGATATCATCATTACAGTTAACCTTGGCTTGAAGCAGAGAAACTTGGTCAAGGGCGATCTAGACCCAAAAAGAGAGTTCACTATCATTTTCCCTCTTCCTATTAATAACAAACAAAATATTTCTCAGCACAGAATCTGCCTTCTCTAGAGAAGTCCTTCCCTAAAAGATCTGCGTGTCTTTTATTTTAAAGGGCTAGTTCCATGGAGTCCCTGAATTACTGAGTCCTTTTAGTATTTTTTGAAATCCCAATTTGGTTTCTTCCAGTTCTGTCTGCTTCTGGCTCCAGAGCACTTACATAATGCAACTAAGCTGCACATGTTGTCTAATCCAAAGGGTGAGCTTGAACTCTCACCCAGGACGGTGTGCTCTGAATTTCAGCCATGTGAGCTCAGCTTGGAGCTGCCAAGGGTGAGCTGCCTGCCCGAACACTGCCACCTCCAATGCCCAGGCCAGTTTTCTTTAGAGTCCCCCCTCATTGGAGTAAAGAGAAACTGGCCATGTGGAGACGAGGGCTCTAGGGGAGTACAAAGGCCCAAGGGTCTCTCTGGTGAAAGAATGCGCCCGCTGGCCCCAGTGAGCTTTTGCCCAGGGCCAGCACTGCTCCGCTGCCCCCTGTCCCTTCTTGGCAGTCCTCACAGGTGGTGCCCTAGCAGTGGCTACTCCTTCTCTGTCTGCTTGGAGGCTGGGGCTCCTGGGGGCCATCATGAGGCCTCCCTTCCTGGAGGAGCCCTGCAGGACTTGACTGGGGAGGCGGGGAGTTGGAAGTAACAGCATTTCTAGGGGGCCAAAGGGGAGGCAGAAACCAGGCTCTCAAAGAGAGGAAGTTCAGTGAAAACAAACTAGAAGCAAAGAAAGGCAACTTGTAAATAGAAGCTAGAAGTAAAATTCAGTTTTCTGGGACAGTGCTTCTGAACCTTTGATGTGCAAAGGAGTCACCAGGGGGTCTTGCTAAAATGTGGATTCGGTTTCTGGAGGTCTGGGATGGAGCCTGAGATCCTGCATTTAAGCAAGCTTCTGGGTGATTCACAGCTGTTGATCCCCGGAGGAGCAAGCATTTGGTAGCAAAGGTGTTGGCCTACGAGTAGAGCTGTGCTGCTCTCTGATGGCTGAGTCCCTGGTGGCACAGCCTCGGTGCTCAGGGGGTAAGCCCTGGTTGAGAGGCAGTGGAGCCTGGTGGTTAAGAATAAAGACGCCAAGCCACACTGTCCGGGTTTGAATTCTGGCCACCTGTTAAGTGAATGATGTTACGCAAATTACTTAATCTCTCTGTACCTGAGTTTTCCTCATCTGTAAAATGAGAATTAAAGGAGGTGATATATGTAAAACAAGTGGGATAGTACTTGGTTCATTGTAAATGCTCATTGAATGTTAGTTGTTGCTGTTACTGTTATTATCCTTTGGTTGCTGAGTCCAGAGTCGTGCCTTCCGCTCACTGCCTCGGCTATAGACTTCTCTTGTCAAAGAAGAAAAGGGTTCTCACAAGGTTATCTGTACTACAGAGATGCTGCAAGGAATCTCTCCTTTTAATAAATGAGGTCTAGAAATAAAGTCTACAGAAGGCAGCTGGAACCTAGCTTTCATGTGCATGCCAGTCCTATTTGTAGCTTCAAATCAAAGTCCTGGGCAGCATGGTGGACTATGAAGGCTGAGGCCCCCAAAGTGCATGGCAGGGACATTCCTGGGAGCCGCAGGACCCTCTGTCCTGGGCTTGCAGAATCTAAGTCACCAGTTATCTCTAGGCATTCTGCCTGGCAGGGCCCAGGTTTCAAGTGGCACAGAGGCAGTTTACACTGGTCTCTCGTCTTTTCCTCCTGAGAAGAGGGTGAGGCCTGGGAGGAGGCCAGAGCAAGTGCAAGTGCGTCACTCTGTCTCAGCTTTCCTTTTCTGAGGGTGACAGTGTTTCAGAAACAGGAATTTGCAGAGGTGGAGCTTTGGCTTTGCATAAAGCAGCATTCAGCCTGTCAGCCTCCCATCGCAACCCCTTGGAGAGTCTCTGCCTGCTCGTGAGCTAGCCTGATGCTTCGGGCTGAGCCCAGGACTCAGCTCGTGCTGGAATGTGGGTCTGTGGCATTCTCCGCCTGGCAGTGTCAGGTTATCGACGTCAGAGGTGGCAGCAGGGACTGGTTCCAGTTGGCAGCCTGGGAACAGTCGCTGCTTCTGTAAGCCTCCCATAGTCAAGGGAACGTGATGTGCTGCATAGGAGCCACCAGGTTTCGTTGTGCTCAAAATAAAATCCGGTGATTCCCATCGTTGACAGGCCTGGGTGGGAGACCCCAGCATAGATAGCAGGAGGTGTCCATGAACAAGGCTCACCTGCCAGGGCATTGTTCCTGAGGAAGAAGAGCAGAATGTCAGTGGATTACCTGGAGTCACGTTTGTGTTTGCCGCAAACACACGAGATCCTGCAGGAATCTCAGCCCCTGGAGCAGTGTTTGATGTGCCACTGAAAGGCTTAAGAAATGCGGCACAGAGAAGAAAACATGGTTTGAGTCTGACCGAGAGAGTCGGATAGTTTGTTATCCCAGCTTTGTCACTCAATAACTGTAATCTTTGGCAAATTAATTCTCCTCTCTGTATCTCATTTTCCTCATCTATAAAAAGAGGATAGTATTTTCCTTCAAAGTGTGTTGAGAGGGCTTCCCTGGTGGCGCAGTGGTTGAGAGTCCGCCTGCCGATGCAGGGGACACGGGTTCGTGCCCCCGTCCGGGAAGATCCCACATACCGCGGAGCGGCTGGGCCCGTGAGCCATGGCCGCTGAGCCTGCGTGTCCGGAGCCTGTGCTCCGCAACAGGAGAGGCCACAACAGTGAGAGACCCACATACCACAAAAAAAAAAAAATGTGTTGAGAGAATTCAAAAGAAAACACACTTAAAAAGCATAACAGGCATATAATAACATTGATAACATTAGTTGTCTCTGGAGAGGGGGATGGATTAAATTCCTTGGGGAAGCAGGAGGAGGAGACTTTTTACTGTGTACCCTTTTGTAACTTGAATTTTGAACCACATGAAGAGTTAATCTGTTTAAAATGTTAAAGATAAAACACATAATCTGTTTAAAATGTTAATTTAAAGATAAAACACATATCATAAAATGTATTGGTGGAATTTCTCAGAAAGGTGATTATGCCTAACCGAACAGGTGATAAATTTTTGTGGTCCTATGAAGTAAATAAATAAAACACTGAGGGCTCTCAGGCAGTGTTAATTTCCTTTCCCTTTCCCATGGTGATCCAGCTCGCAGGCTAGGTCTCCTAAGTTGCTGGAGTCTCCCACACCTCAACTCCCACCCCCGAAAGCATGGGAGGATATCTTACAGAGAAGTGCCTCCTCCCTCTTGGGACAAAAACCTGGTGGCCAGAGCCCTGGAGAAGCCTGGAGAATGAGCTACCTGCCAAATGAAACCCTGGCAACTGGGGACTCAGCCCAGGCTGTGGGACCATGGGACCGTGGCGGTAGGCATCTGTGCAGCCCAAAGCATGAGTGCGGAAAGACAAGGGAGTCTGTTGGACCAGGGTAGGTGAGACTTTCCAGGGCTCTTGCAGTCTTGTTCCTCTGCTAATAGGACCTCAGGCCTCCATACCACGGTACTGCACTTGTCTTTCAGATGGCTTTCCCATCTGTCCTCCCTTTTGATTCTCACAACCACCTAGTGGTGGGAAGATATTTACCCCCAGGGCCTGAGGCCAAGAGAGAATAAGTAATAAGTAATCACAGAGGAACAACACGAGTAGGAGCAGCTCACACTTATTGCAGATTTCCTACATGCCAGGCTCTGTGCTAAATGTTCTTCGTGCATTATTTGGCTTTCTTAACAATTCTGTGAGATAGGTACCAACACCAACTCCATATCACAGATTAGCGGGGGGGGGGGGAAGCTAAAGTCACACAGCTAGTAATGACAAAGGCAGGATTTCAGCGGAGGTGGCACTGATCCTCTACCATATCACACGTCAGCCAGAACGCAGTAGAACCATGCTACTTGTTTGGCATAAACAATGTACCAGCTTCTCCCTGCTTTGTTAGGAAAGAGTAACTCTTTGTTGTGTTACCACCAACAAGGGCTGTGTGGGTTCTGCAGGTTCCTACTTCAGTCTCTGGAAGATTTGGACACAAGTTTAAGGAAACTGAACTCCCGCCTGTTTGTAGTCCGGGGACAGCCGGCTGACGTGTTCCCAAGGCTGTTCAAGGTAAGTGTGCAAAGTCCAAGAGAAAATAGTGAGAGTCTGCTCCAGGGTTTCCCCGCAGACTGAACGAGACAGTATTCTGACTGAGGAAATGGAAATGGTCGGGGACGGTCTGACCACTGCTGCTAGGGAAGTTGGGAGCAAATGCAGCCAGTCAGCTGCCAACAGAATGGAAACTGCGTTAAGGAAAAATTCTGTGAATCCAGTGTCTTGTTGGAAAGTTCCCATCTCCGTCCAGACATGGGATGTGGCAAGTTATTCCACCCCGGATGCCACTGGCTTCCTTAGATGTTTTCTTGGCTCAAGCCAGCAAGATTTATTAGGGCTCTTCCTACGCCAGGAGTTTGAGGGTGAGGTTTCCTATTGAGCAATGGGCGTTTCCCATCTTGCTTTGCTTTGCTTTGCTTATTGGAAAAAAAAGTCAGCCTCTCTGAGGAAACATCCCTACTTCCTCTGTGAATGATTGATAAAATCTTCATTTAGGTACCATATAGGCCTCTGTTTGCTATACCAGGTAGCCAGCCCACTTTTCCCCCCAACCCCTTTATAAAACACAGTTTCTGAGGCCCAAACAGAGACGAAAGTGCTCGTGGACAGAGGGCTCTAGGACGTTCTCCCCTCATCCTCAGCGGCACACAGTTGTTTTTCTGCCTCTCTCCACCCCAGCTTCCTTCCCTACTCTTCCTGGGGGAAAAGGCAAGAGCAAAGACTTAATGTCAAGGCCATAGCTTAGTAAACACTTCATCATTCACTTTACGTCCCCGCACAAATGCCACGGTGCTGATAATAGCCAGCATTCATTGAGGGCTGACTATGAGTCAGACACTGTTCTAGGTAAGTGCTTCACATACATTAATTCACGTACTTCTCACAGTGGCCCTCAGAGGTGGGCGCTGCTGTCCCTACTCTGCAGATGAGAAACAGTATCCTGGGAAGCTAAGGGTGATGGTCTAGGATTTGCGCCCAGGCTCCGACTCCAGGGCTGTGTTCTTAACCACCGCACCGTTAAATACATTTGCCTCTCTTCTGCCTCTGCATTGTCCCCTCTCTCCCAGCACCTCAGAGGCCAACCCGCTAACAGCCCAGAGATACAGATAGATCATTCATTCACTGTATGTTATTAAGCTTCTACTGTGTACTAGGCCCCATACTAGGTCCTAGGGTAATGAAGAATAAGCATGATTTCTGCTATGAGCATTCACACTGTAATGGAGGAAACAGGCAAGTAATGGGAAGCTTCATTGCCGTATGATAACTGCTGTGATGGAAAACGGGCAAGGTTCAGGAGAATCATACTGAGGGAGAAGGCCTAGGAGGCTTCTTGGAAAAGGTGTCATCTAATAATATTTTTATTATTATTCACAGGGTTATGAGTCTTTAACAGTGTAATCTGTATGAACTGCTAAGCATGGTACTTGGCTCATAGTAAGTGCTCAATAAATGTTTAGTGCTGCTGTCCTTGAACGAGGGATAAGCAACCCTGCTCAGGACTCACATGCAGCAGGGCTGAGTCAGGACCAGGCTGGCCTGTGCCCGGCCAGGACATTTGCCCCGGGGATTCAAAGTTTTAAGGGACCATGACCAGAGACTTTGGTTGGAATGTGGTTTCCTTCTAGCTAGTTGCATGCTCTAGGGCTTTTTGTGGGTTTTCTGTACAACTTTTCACTGGGCCATTTTCTCCCAGCTTTGCTAGGAAATCTAGAAATTTCTACCAGACATGACTAATGACTTGGAAAAGAATTCCCTTCTTTTTAAATATGTGGCCCCTCTGGTCTGATTTCTCTGACCTCTGGGCTAAGGGCTGCTCCTCCTTTCCCAGCTCTCTGAGACCTGGAGCCTATTAGCTGTGTTTCCTACTGGCCTCAGGAGTGTTGCTGTGGAAACCATCAACACACTTCACACAGCACAAGTCTGCCAAGAAAACTAGGCCAGAAGTTTTCAGGGCCCTGAGGAGCTCTGGGAAAGGCTTGCCAAGCAGGCGGAATATGGCGATCCTGTCCCCCGCCATCTTTACCAGTGAGTCAGTGCCTTTCTGGGATTGGAGGCTCCCCTGGGAGCATGTATTTATATCCTCCTGCTGCATTCTCCTACCACAAGGACACAGCAAGTGCACAGAGCTTCCCACCTCTCTCCTGATTCCACCGAGACCACTAGCCTCGGGCTCCACTCTTGTAGGCTGCTGGCCTCACCTCAAAGGCCTGCCCTCCTCAAACCTTGTGGATCTCAGATTTTTGGTTTTCCAGTTCAAGTCATTGTCCCTAGTTTGTTCTGCAGCCCATTCTGTCAGGTCTCTAGACTTGCTCTGTACCCTCCCAGGAGAGAGCTGAGTGCCCAGCTTCTTTCTCCCCAAACAGTGTTGAGCATTACAGATTCTCTCCCCACAGGAATGGGGGGTGACCCGCTTGACCTTTGAATATGACTCTGAACCCTTTGGGAAAGAACGGGATGCAGCCATCATGAAGATGGCCAAGGAGGCTGGTGTGGAGGTGGTGACTGAGAACTCTCATACTCTCTATGACCTGGACAAGTAAGAGATGGGCCCCAGGGGTCAGGTTGCCAATTGTGGGAGTTGATGATTTGGGCCCCTGCTGAGTGGAACTCAGGGAGATTCAGCAATAGGGCCCCCTGGCACATGAAGTATGGCGTTTTCTAGAAGCTGGAAGAGAATAGGTCAGAGTTGGGGCCTGTAGAGCAGCTCAAAGAGCTTACCCGATTTGGGTGCAAAGAGGCTTATTAGGCCCAAGGGACAGAAGCAGTGAGGCTCCCCACCCAGGATCTTCATAGATCTGCTCCTAACACGCTCCAGTCCCATCTATGCCACACACTCCCGCTTCTGTCCTGCTGCTCAGAAACTGCCCTCTGACCTCAGTGGGCCCTGTCTGTCGCCCCTCCCAGCAGATCTCTGTCCTCATAGACACAACTTCTGTTCCTGAGATGCGTTCCCTGGGCTCCCCTGGCTATCTGGGTTTCCCGGCCATGCATTTAGATGTTGCTCCTGAGGCTCTAGAGATCCCTGCAGGGCCTCTGTGCTTTCAGAGGGCCTAGGAGGAAACCCTCTCCTCCCCTTCCCTGCGAGAGCTGTCACCCTCCTGCTGCTGCTGCCACTGCTGCCAAGCCCTGCTCCCTGTCCCTCTCCCCACAACCAGTGGCGGGGGTCACACAGCTCTGCATGTGAGCTGGGCTCAGCTCAGGGAAGCGCTGGGTGTGGTGCTCCTCCTCCTGCCACGTGCCGGAGGAGGGGTGAGGTACTGCAGGGGCAGCAGCCAACCTTCTGTCTCCACTAACGGAAGGGAGGAGAAAGGAACTGAGATATAAACTCGCCCAGCAAGCCCGGCTTGCGTAAGCTGCTTCTTGGCCAACAAGAGCCCTGGGGGTCTAGATGCAGCCCATCCCAGTTCATCCTTATAAAAACAGCCTCAGTTCTCCTCTAAACTCTCCTATATCTTTTCTTCCTATCTCAGTGCAGCTGTGTTTCCCTTGCTCATGAAAAAATACTTTTGTAAATTGCAAGAAAAAAACCCTTGAAGTATTAGTTGTTACTATTAACCCCAGGCCCAGCCTCCGATTTAGGGAGGACAGGCTGTTCTCCACCTCTCTGTTCTAGTAATTGGGGCGCAACAAGGGAATGATTTTCCAACCAAGGAACATGTTTGCAGCTCTTATCGAAGAACTTCCTCGAGGCTTACGCTGGGATAGAGAGGGAGGCCCACGGGACTCCCTGTGGCTTGGACAGGCAAACCAAGGACCAAGAAGGCCAGTGGGGACTTTTCTGTGATTAGAGAGATATGGTCAGTCTCTGTCCTTAGGCGGCTCCACATCGGCACCAGGGAACCTGGAATTGAGCCCTAGCTTTGGCCCTGACTTGCTCCAAGCACCTGCTCCGGCAATCTAGGCTTCATATTCCCTCTCGGTAAAACGGAGATGTAGCCCCCCTTGTCCCCTCCTTTCCACTTAGGAGGGGGACCCATGAGCGGATGAGGAAAGCCACCCTCCAAGCCTTCGAAGTCTGGGCTCTTTTCTGGGTGGGCAGGGACCTGAGATGAAGGGTCTTGTGAATGACGTCTGGTGTGCTTTGGGATTCCCAGGATCATTGAGCTGAATGGGCAGAAGCCGCCCCTTACCTACAAGCGCTTTCAGGCCATCATCAGCCGTGTGGAGCTGCCCAAGAAGCCTGTGGGCTCTGTGACCAGCCAGCAGATGGAGGGCTGCAGGGCTGAGATCCAGGAGAGCCACGATGAGACCTATGGCGTGCCCTCCCTGGAGGAGCTGGGTGCGTACTTCCTGCCCCAAGCCTCTCATGCCAGCACCTCCTTTTTTGTAAAAGAATTTGCCGTTTTTTCTTTTCTGTCAAAGTAATGCAGTTACTGTAGACACTTTAGAAAATACGGAGACATGAAAATGGAAATAACTCTATTACCCACCACCCAGAGAAAACCAGCCTTAATTTTGCAGTAGTCCTTCTGCAGTCTTTTTTCTGTTCGTATTTATGTATGTAATCTTCTGTTTCTAGTTCATGCCTCTATTTTTGTACTTTTCCCTCTCAGATACAGGCACAGCCTGGTGCTGGCATCAGTGGGCTTCTCAATACCAACATAACTAGTGTTGTTTCTGATGAAAGGGGGTATGTCGGCCTCTCAGGTTACTGACTACACCCTCTCTCCCCTTCCCGTTCCCCTTCCTCCCCACCATCCATTGTTTTGATCTGAACAGTTAGCCTTTCTCACCGAGTAGTCAGCTAACCTGACAGTGCCAGCTGTACAGGACTGTTCACCTGTCCAGAGTGAAGCTTGGGGGAGGTGAGAGAAAGGAGAGGAAAGGTCACGGTGGAAAGAGAACCAACGTGACTTAGAAAACATGGACCCATTAAGGATTATCTCAGCCCCACTAGCACCAGAAACACAGTGGTTCAGTTCCCACGAAGCTCAAAGAGCAGCCCAGCCTGGGAGGACTTGCCGAGCCGTCACTGAAATGGCCTGACCTCCAGTCCTGTGACCTGCTCCTCCCCGTGTAGGATTCCCCACTGAAGGACTCGGCCCAGCTGTTTGGCAAGGAGGAGAGACGGAAGCTCTGGCCCGCCTGGACAAGCACCTGGAACGGAAGGTACGGCCCCGTTTCTGAGACACAGAACTTCAGATGCTGACACCCATGCTGCAGGGAAGATGGAGCCAGGTTCATGTCCCTTAGGGCCTCTTAGCTCAAGCTGGTTGAAAAATGGAAAGTCTTCCTTATGGCAATAGCAACAATAATAATAGCAGTTACCATTTAATGAGTGCTTACCATGGGCTGGTCACTGGGCTGAGCATTTCTGGGTTTGGCACCTGCTTGCACTATATCCTTTCATCTTTCCAACAGCCCTACAAGGACAGCATTAAGCTCCTCCATTTTACAGATTAGGAAACTAAGGCTTAGAGTGGTTAAGTAACTTGCCTGAGGTCACACAGTTAGTAAGTAGTAGAGTGAGATCTTGTTCTATGTGATTCTAAAACTTAGGCTAGATTGCTTTTCTTTCATCTGTGTGTCCCCTTACTAAGAGGGTATCTGGTCAGTAAAGTCCATAAGATTAATTATTTTGTGTTCATGTGTCCCCCACCTTTTGCTGGGTCTCCTCCAAGGGTTTGATTTCCATTTGCTTGTCACAGAGAACAAATGACCCACCTCCCAGTAAAGTGGGAATTGGTAAGAGGAAGGAAAGAGGCCAAGGCCCCAGAGGCACCCCTCATAGTGTCACATGGCCCCACCTCCTTGGGACTAGAGAAGCAGAGGAGGTTCTCATGAACAGTCAGCTTCTATTTCCTGCCCCCCTGCAGATGGTTTATAGACTGGGTCCCTAAAATCACAACTTGTTCTATTCCTGCTCACATGGCTGGGCATTTGGCCCAGCATCCAGGTGATAACAATGCAAGAAGGAGGCTAAGATAGCAGACTTGGAAAGAATGCTTCCCAGCCCTGGAGGTACCTCGCCAGCAGTGAAAGCACACCATGGGCCTAGCCTCCCCAAGGCCCAGCAGCCTTGATGTCCCTATTTGGGTGTTACCATCAGACAGGGCCGAAAGCAAGCCCCAGCAATTTAAAAGGATAAGAACTGATATCCAAGGGCATGGGGGAACCAGCTGTCTTTGTCCACGTCAGCTTTACCAAGAGATTCTTACGGTCAGCCTGGAGACAAAGGCTGGGCCAAGGAGGCAGAAAGGGGCAGATGATTTTGGAAAAGAGGCAGACAACGTCCTCTGGTGGTGCTAAGCAGATTGAAAATAAGCTGCTGGTGACCAGCCTTGCCACTGCTCAAGGAAAGCCTGCCTGAGAATGAAATAATACAGAGGAAAGCAGAGCTGAGATGGTGAATGCATTCCAAGTAGCACTAGTTGGACACCTAGATCCAGCTGTGCCTGAAGGCTACATCTTGGACTCTTGGTTATATGAGTTAAAAAAATCCCTTTTTCAAAGGCCACCCCAGAAATGGGGTGGCAGGAGTACAATGAGACTTAAAAGTGTAAAGAGCTAACCTATAGCTTGGGGATTATTATCCCCTTAAAAGCATTTTGGGGCTTCCCTGGTGGCACAGTGGTTGAGAGTCCGCCTGCCAATGCAGGGGGCACGGGTTCGTGCCCCGGTCTGGGAGGATACCACGTGCCGTGGAGCGGCTGCGCCCGTGAGCCATGGCTGCTGAGCCTGCGCGTCCGGAGCCTGTGCTCCGCAACGGGAGAGGCCACAGCAGTTAGAGGCCCGCGTACAGCAAAAAAAAAAACACACCAAGTCAGGGACTTCTTTTCCAGACACCCCTGGAGGGCCTCTTTTGTAGTGGGGCCTTATGTCAGGGCCCTTCAGACTCAGTGGTAGCCCGAGGGAATACGGTATTTTACACATCAGGGAGAACAAAAGGTACCTGATGGGCGGGAGTTTAACCATTTCAGGAGGTTTATTTTAACTTCTTCAATTCTCCAAATCTGAAGCGAGTATTTTCTTATGTCAGAATGGTCTAGCTGCTAGAAAGACTGCCTAAAAAGACAGGCATCGTGTCTGTCTCCAGAAACACAGTCTATAGGAGATGATAGACACGAAACAAGTAATTACAGTATGCTTAGGGTTAGGAAAGGAGTAGTTCAGAGGGTTATGGGAATGAAAGAGCAAGAGGATTATATTAATCAGTTCTTGTTTGCAAGTTGGCCTTTGAAAAAGGGATTTTTTTAACTCGTATAACCAAGAGTCCAAGATGTAGCCTTCAGGCACAGCTGGATCTAGGTGTCCAGCTAGTGCTACTTGGAAATGCATTCACCATCTCAGCTCTGCTTTCCTCTGTATTATTTCATTCTCAGGCAGGCTTTCCTTGAGCAGTGGCAAGGCTGGTCACCAGCAGCTTATTTTCAATCTGCTTAGCACCACCAGAGGACGTTGTCTGCCCCTTTTCCAAAAGCTTCAGAAAAAGTCCCAAGGAGTGTTTTCATTGGTCTGGCTTGGGCCACGTGACTCTCCCTGACTCTGTCACTGTGGCCAGGGAAGGGGGCGCTTTCTCTGGCCAGACTTGACTCTGGGAGTGAGCCCACTCCCAGAGTCAGAGGTGGCTTAGCTTTACTTTCCCACCTTGAACTGAGATTAGGGAAGGGTTGGGCCACCACAAGAAAATTAGGTGCTGCTACCAAAAAGGGGGAGGCAAACAGTATGATCTTTACCACTGGGTTACCCAGTAGTAGCTGAGGACAAGCATCTCTCCATAAAGGTGTCCCAATTAAATGAAAAAGGGATGATGGAATCTTGCAGCCCCTAGTGAGGACACATGATGCATTAATGACCTCTAACACCAAGGAGAGTGACGGTCAGGCATGTACCCCCTGTAGTCTTGCCAAGGAGATCAGACCTGAGTCCAAGCCAGTCTCTGGTACCAGCCACCAATTTGCAGGCAGCACACAGGACAGAGGGATGTGTTGAACTGCCCCGTAAGTACACAGGGAAATCTGGACTGTGGGAATTAGTACAAGTCAAACGGCTTGGATTCTTTGGCAGAAAATATAAGAGGAAAAGAAGGAAATGGCAGGGAATGCATAGAGTAAAAAAAACTTAAATAACACATCAAAGTATAATGAGAACATACTGTATAGTACAAGGAACTCTACTCAGTGCTCTGTGGTGACCTAAATGGGAAGGAAATCCAAAAGAGGGGACATATGTATACATATGGCTGATTCACTTTGCTGTACAGCAGAAACTAACACAACATTGTAAAGAAACTATACTCCAATAAAAATTAATAATAAAAAAAAACACTTCAAAGTCTTTTACATAGCCAAGACTAAACTGTAGTGCCTAGGGTTGCACATTTGGGTGAAAACAAGAAAAAAACACTTAAAAATGCGAGAAATAACTGAAAAGATAAAGCCCTCCCTTCCAAATGTGCTTTGCAAAAACAGGAAAATGTAAACATTTTTATTTATTTATTTTTTAAATTTATTTATTTTACTTATTTATTTTTGGCTGCGTTGGGTCTTTGTTGCTGCGCGCGGGCTTTCTCTAGTTGCGGCAAGCGGGGGCTACTCTTCGTTGCGGTGCGCGGGCTTCTCATTGCAGTGGCTGTTCTTGTTGCGGAGCACGGGCTCTAGGCGCACGGGCCTCAGTAGTTGCGGCACGTGGGCTCAATAGTTGTGGCTCATGGGCTCTAGAGCGCAGGCTCAGTAGTTGTGATGCACGGGCTTAGTTGCTCCACGGCATGGGGGATCTTCCTGGACCAGGGCTCGAACCCGTGTCCCCTGCCTTGGCAGACGGATTCTTAACCACTGTGCCACCAGGGAAGTCCCAGGAAGGTGATTATTATAAAAGTTGGGCAAGTGGTCACTTACAGGGCAGGGAAGGGACCGTGACTGGGATGAGCACATAGATGGGCTTCTGGGGTGGCTGGCAAAGTACTGATTCTTGAACTTTGGTGGTGTTTGCACAGGTGTTTGCCTTAGAATAATTTGTTAAGCACACATCTGTGTGATTTCTGTATCTGTGTTTCACTTAAAATAAAAAGATTTTCAAAGAGAGGTGGGCCAAGGATATGAGCAGGTAAATATACCTCGCGTCTGTTAGAGGTACTTAACCAATACCTGAGGGATCACCTGCCGAGGAGGTGGCCTTTAGGTTAAGACTTGAAGGAAGAGTCAAAATTAACCAAGGAAAGGGGAGTGGAAAGGAAGGCAGCACTCCAGCCAAGGGAGCTGCATGTGTAAAGGCTAGTAAGAGCATGGTGCTTAAAGAAGAGTGGTGAGGAAGGAAGCTAGAAAGATGGGGCCACTGTGGGGTGCTTGTAAGCCATGTTTAGGATTTGGGACTCTAGCCTAAGAACACCAGGAAGCCCAGTGCATGTATTGTCCTCAGGGACAGGCATTTTAAAGAATCACTGTGCTCCCACTGTGGAGGGTGGATTAGGGGGGACAAGAATTGATGCAGAGAGGTCAGTTAGGAGGCTGTCACAGTTGTGCAGTATAGATACAATCTTAGCCTAAACCAGGTTGGTGGCAATAGGGAATGGAAAGAAAAGGACAGATTAGAGAAACACTTGGACAGTAGGATTGACAGGACCTGGTGAGCAGGGAGTCAAAGGTGACGGCCAGGCTTTTGGCTTGGGCAACAAGGTGGATGACAGTGCAGTTTTTGAGATAGGGAATGCCAATGGAAGGGTGGTTTAAAGAAAAGAACCTGCTACCCTTGAGGTGCCTGAAAGGCAATCAAGTAGAGCTCTCTGGCAGGGAGTTGGGTGGAGTGACTTGGGAGTCTAGGTGAGCAGTCTGGGCCAGAGCTACAGACATGGTGATCGTCTGCAAAGAAATTGTCTCGGGAGCCGTGGGACTGGATGAACTCAGGCAGGAACACAGTTGAGTAGAAGGGACCTAGAACAGAGCCCTGGGGTGCCAACACTTAAGGAGTTGGGAGGGGTGGTGGACCTGGTGAAACACCAAGAACAACCAACCAGCTGATGGCAGCCAGGAGCCAACAGAATGGCAGGTGTGGAGACAGGGAGCAGTCAGCAGGATGAAGTGCTGCGGGGGAGTCCAAAAATACAGGGACAGAAAACGCCCACAGGATCCGGTGGCATGGACATCTCAGAGACTCTGGCGGGAGTGGTGAAGGCAGAAGTGGAGGTGGGCGTGAGGAAATGGAGAAAGGCTGGCTGCGAAGGGAGGAAAGAGGACCCAAGGGGAGAAGTCCGCAGGGTGACTAGAAGTTCTTTTTGTTTTGTTTTGTTTGCAACGAAACAAGATCATTTTCCCAATGTCCTTGGAGTGAACAGGGAAGAGAGGGAGAGATGGAATGTGCAAGAGAAGGAAGAGGGGAGGGCTCCAGAGCCAGGTGGAGGCCTTAGCCTTGGGCAGGGTCACAGGAGGGACAGGGAGTAGATGGGGATGCAGGTGAGTTTCTAGATTTGGTGGCTAAAAGTTGAGGTGTTTCCTACCTGATGGCTTCCATTTCCTTATCAAAAGGAGGGAAGGTCATCTGCTGAAGGGTGGTGGGAAAGTGTGGAATAGGAGGTCTAAAGAGGGTGTAAAGGACTTCCCTGGTGATCCAGTGGTTAAGACTCCACACTCCCACTGCAGGGGCTGTGGGTTTGATCCCTGATTGGGGAAGTTCCGCATGCCAAGCAGTGCGGCCAAAAAAAGAATAAAGAGGGCGTGAAGTTTGTGAAATAGTCATCACGAAGAGAAAGAGGGCATTAGGAGTCGAGAAAGAGAAAATGGTTATTAGAGGTAGTGGAAAAAGACTGGAATCTGGAGTCAGTCCCTCCAGCTCTGTCTCTTACCACCTCTGTAACCTCAGAAGAGTCACGTAACACTTTGAGCTTCCTTTCCTCGTTTTTGAAAGGAGGTAATGACAAATGCTGCCTCAGGCGACGGTTAAGAGCGAACGAGAGAACACAGGTGCCAGTGAGCTGTGGAGATAAAGCTCTGCAGCAGCAACGGATGATAAAAACAAGACCAACGATCCTGCGTGACAAGTGGCCCAGCAGTGAATGACTGCGGGTTTCCAGGAATGGGTTTCTCGGCGCTGTTGAACAGTGGGGAGAAGCGCTTGGGTAGCCACCGTGTAGCAGCAGCCTCAGGGCCCCTGGGACAGAGCAGGGACTGAAGGAGGGATATCTTCCTCTGTAATGTAGACGCCCTTTTTCCTTTCTTCTGTAGAATCACAGACCCTTCAGTGCTTTCAGAGACTTTCATTTTCATCATCTTATTTCATCCCCAGGAGGTGGGAAATTTTGTTCTCATTTAATAAACAAGTAGCTGAGGGACTAAATAACTTATGCTCATAGCACAAATTAAACAGAGTCAGGACAAGAACTTGGGCCTCATTGTTTGATCGGTGGTGGTTCCATCAAAAATTCTGCCAGCGTGAAGTAGCAGGACGTGCACAGGGTCTCATCCTGGCTCTTTGGCTTTCTGGTCTGCGACCTTAGGCAGATTCCTTAACTAGCTGGTGCGTCAGGTTTTTTCCTCTGAAGCCTCCAGGTCTGTCCTTTCTTTGCCTTCTCTTTCTGCTGCAGGCCTGGGTTGCCAACTATGAGAGACCCCGCATGAATGCCAACTCCCTGCTGGCCAGCCCCACGGGCCTCAGCCCCTACCTGCGCTTCGGCTGCCTCTCCTGCCGCCTCTTCTACTACCGCCTGTGGGACCTGTACAAAAAGGTAAGGGGCAGTGAGGGCGGCAGAGCCCGCCCCCGGTTGCAGCCCAGAGGACACCAGGGCTTTCTGGGCCGGTCAGTTACCCTGAAGAGAGGCCTTCCCTCTGGCTTAAGTGTGCGTACTGTCCAGAGAAGGTGAGGAAGAAGCCACATCCAAGAGGGGCCAGTGCCAAGCACAGCGCAAACTGCTGATCTAAACAAATCCAGATTCTCAAGTGGACCAGAACAGGCAGGAAAGCCGACCTCGGGGTGTGACCCCGGAGGTGGCATTTCTGCTGGCAGCAGGTGGATGGGGGCCAAGCAGTCAGGGTGGGAGGCAGGGAGGCTGAGGCTGCTGCCAGTTCTAAGGCGAAGAGCACAGCAGCCCCCTATGGGGCTGTGTCCAGAGCATTTAAAGGGGAGCCTAGGAGCGGCAGTTGCCCATCAGTGATGAGGAAATGACCCGGAGGGCTGAATGCAGGGCTGGACACGGACAATAGGTGGATAGCCCTGTAGTAATGCACCCACCCCCAGGAGGAGAGAGGACAACACATCCAGCTGTTCAGATTCATCAGATCCATCCTTGCGTCTGCATCGTTTCACGTTGTTTCCTCATTCTTGCCAATATCTGGATTTTGTGGCATGGCATGCGGTAACTTTGCCCGCTTGGTGGGTAATCTTGTGATTTTAGGAAGATTATTATTTGCTTGGCAGTCTGATGTCTTAATTCTTTCATGGCCCCAGATCCAGGCTGTTGGGCATAACTTATTTAACCAAAATCTAGACTGAGCATTTTTTCCGTGTGCTGATGAGAAAACTTACTTTGACGTTTTAGAAAGTGGAGCCCAACAGGAACTCTCGAGGGCAAGGATCATGACCAGTCTTTGGGAGTTTGGTTCCCAGTGCAGAGTCCGGCAGCGCTATCCCTTTCCACTGCCTGCTGCTCCGCAGCCATCCTCAGGGCTCTGAGCAGTAGTGGGCACAGCCAGGGCCCAGGGTTCACCCTGCCGATTCTCCTGGGACAGGGTCCCTCCACGCATCTAGGGGCTTTGGAGCCACCAAGTTCATGGCAGCTCCAGATTCCTTTGTGGGGAAGTTCTGAGTGGCACGGCGCTGATAGCTGGGCAAGCGTTTGTATCCACGTGCTGTCCCACCCCACCAGGTGAAGCGGAGCAGCACACCCCCGCTCTCCCTGTTTGGGCAACTCCTGTGGCGAGAGTTCTTTTACACGGCGGCCACCAACAACCCCAGGTTTGACCGCATGGAGGGGAACCCCATCTGCATCCAGATCCCCTGGGATCGCAACCCCGAGGCCCTGGCCAAGTGGGCCGAGGGCAAGACAGGCTTCCCTTGGATTGACGCCATCATGACCCAACTGAGGCAGGAGGGCTGGATCCACCATCTGGCCCGGCACGCTGTGGCCTGCTTCCTCACGCGCGGGGACCTCTGGGTCAGCTGGGAGAGCGGGGTCCGGGTGAGTCCTCTCTCAGCGGGCAGCCCAGGGCAGCCCCCTTTTGGGCTGGGGGATGGGCTGGGACCCCTGGGTCCAGGAGATTCCCTCCAGATCCTTCTTGGCTTGCCCTCAGCAGAAGGCTTTGGCTCCCTTCTCCACAGGGTGTGTGGTGACTTGGGGGGAACCATGGCCGTAGGTCCCCAAGGAGGCTGATTGTCCCACCCTCCCTGCATCTAGGTATTTGATGAGCTGCTCCTGGATGCAGATTTCAGCGTGAACGCAGGCAGCTGGATGTGGCTGTCCTGCAGTGCTTTCTTCCAACAGTTCTTCCACTGCTACTGCCCGGTGGGCTTTGGCCGCCGCACGGACCCCAGTGGAGACTACATCAGGTGCGGGTGCAGACCAGGCTCTCTGGTTTCTGGCCACTTTGGCCTCCTCCTAGGGTGAGACGTGCTTGGCCTTTGAAGGAGACTCCAGCGTGCTGATGGGTCCTCTGGTGTGTCTGTTTCAGGCGATACCTGCCCAAATTGAAAGGGTTCCCCTCTCGATACATCTATGAGCCCTGGAATGCCCCAGAGTCGATTCAGAAGGCAGCCAAGTGCATCATTGGTGTGGACTACCCACGGCCCATCGTCAACCATGCCGAGACCAGCCGGCTCAACATTGAGCGGATGAAGCAGATTTACCAGCAGCTCTCCCGCTACCGGGGACTCTGTAAGGAGCCCCTACTCTGACTGCCACCCCCTAGTTCCCCGAAGGGAAGGACAACACCTACAGGCTCGGGGCGTAGACATTCCCAGATGTTTGCAAAGGGAGGCCGCCGAGCACTGTCTTCCAGGCTGTTGACTTGACTTCCCGGGCACAGGCCACACAGGCTGGGCTGGATCAGGCCTCTCTGAATTAGTTGCGGCCAGTGGGAAGCGATGGAACCTTGATGTCATGGCCCAGCACCCCCTGCCTTGTACCTACCTGCCCTGGGGCCCTGTACAGTCCTGTGAGATTGCATTCTGATTATCCCCCTACCTCTTTCCCAGGTCTGCTGGCGTCTGTCCCTTCCTGTATGGAAGACCTCAGCAATCCAGTGGCAGAGCCCAGCTCGAGCCAGGCTGGGGGCATGAGCAGTGCAGGTGGGTACAGCCAGCCTCCCGTGGCCTGTGCCCACCCCAAGGGCACTGCAGAGCTACTCCCACTTCAGTCACTGAGGGCTGAGGATGGAGGCCAGAACCAAGCTATGCCCCGATAGAACTTGTATTCCACCTGGGGAGACAGATGGTAAAGGAGCTGTGCAGGATCATGTCAGATAACAAGTGCTTTGGGGGAAAATAAAATCAAGTGACCTGATAAAAGAGGGCTGGGGAAGGGGGTTACTTTAGATGGAGTACCAGGGCTCCATGCAGTGAGCAGAGCCAGCCTTCTAAGAACAGGGGGAAGAGCATTCCAGGCAAAGGGAAGAGCAGGAAAAGACCCAGAGATGGAAACAAGCTTACCCATTCCAGGAACGAGAGGAGGGAGGCCAGTGGGGCTGGTGTGTTCTGAGTGAGGAGCTGGAACGAGAGGAGGACGGACACAGCAGGAGTAGCAGCGTGTAGACTCGGCGTCCACGAGGAGGATTAGGGTTCCGTCGTCAGGGCAGGGAGAAGGCACTGACGGGGGTCAGCAGGGCAGATGCGTGACCTGGTTTATGTTTTAGAAAGCTCACTCTGCCTGCCGTGTGGAGGGCACAGCGTGGGCAAGAGCCCCCGAGTATCGGAGGCTGGAAAGGAGGCGACTGTAGTTGTCCAGGCAGGTGGAGGGAGAGAGGAGTAGATGGCCTTGCTGCATTCTTAACCTCTGCCCTTCGGCTCCGGGACGAAGGTCAGCGAGCTTAGACCGGCAAGAACGTCAGGGCTTTTTCTAGTTTCTAGTTTGCCCAGCCAGGTTGGCTCCCCGGGTTAGGGCACTGCTCACTCTGGCTTCAGGAGGCCAGTTACGGAGGGAATGCCTCACCCTCAGCGCGAGGATGGCAGACAGGCCAAATCAGTCTCTGGCCTGGAGCCCATGGGATTTGGGGCCCAAAAGCTGGCTGTACTGCCAGCAGGCCTGGTTATGCTCTCCTTGGATATTTCCAGGCAGAGTCGCTGCTGAAAGGAAGGTCAAGGGGCAGGTCTGAGAAGCAGCGCGCTGGTTGCATTGATGAGCAGGCTCCCTGCCCCCTAAAGAGCTGCTGCTACACGGTTGAGCGTCATCTTGGCTCCACACACAAGTCTGTGTGACACTTTGACCTGCTTCCCTACAGGCCCAAGACCACTACCCAGTGGCCCAGCGTCCCCCAAACGCAAGCTGGGAGCAGCGGAGGAGCCACCTGGTGAAGAGCTCAGCAAACGGGCCAGGGTGGCAGGGCTGCCCCCTCAGAGCTGCTGAGCAAGGATGCCTGAGAGTGAGTGACAGCAGCTGACAGTCAGCTTCAGGGACGGGCGTGGGAGAGAGGTGGGGTGAGTGTGGAGAGCTGCCCTGCCAGCCGAAGGCTAAAACCCACAAACTAGATTAAAACCTGGTAGGGGCCGGGGGCTTTTCTAGGGTTTCAGCTCAAATTCTACCATCCTGACTTCTATACCTTCTAATACTAAAAAGAGAATTTAAAGATAAAGCCTTGTTCTTTCTTTGCCAGCTAAGGGAAAAAAAAATTGACTCTTGCTACCTATCAAAGTGAGCCAAATCCAGAAAAAGAAAGCAGAGACCCGATTGAAGCTGTGGGAGAAAGAGTCCCAGGGCAGGGTCTGGGGGTGCTCCAGGCCCCTCTGCCATCGCCCCGACAGGCTGTGTCCTGTAGGCTGGCCAGCAGAGGGCAGCACTTACCTTCAGAATTCAGGCTTAGGGACGTTTGGAGGCTCACTTAGCCCAGCCCCACCTGAGGGCCAGAAGACCCAGGCTCCCCTATCGCCTGTGCCTCTTACAGCCACTCTTCCCGTTCGTGCCTTTCTTGTGGCTTCAGCTCTGCACTTCCCTGGCAGTGCTCATCCTGAAAGCCCCCTGAATGTCTCAAAAAAACAAAAACAAAAACCTGGCTCTTCCTTCCCCAGAGCAAGAAGGGCCTTTTGCGCCTTTCTGGGGGAGATATAAATTACTGTCCCCTTTCAGTCATCATCTCGGGCTGTTCCTTATGTGCCGTCAGCATCATTAGGTTGGAGGGTGATTTTCTCCACGGAGCCAATTCTTTTTTCTAAACCCTTCTACTTCAAGCCAGGTGAGGCCAACTGGTTTGCACATCTAGACTTGAATGCCAGTGAGACGGCGAGTGTTTGATGCCTGTGCCCTTTTCTTTACTAGGCTCTTCGTCTTAGATATTGCAGATGGACAGATTTGTTATCTTGTTCTGGGAGTACCAGCAACCTTAGGTACTGTTCTCTTAGTTACCTCTTAACTCTGTGGTACTGAGCATAGTTCATTCTGTCTTACAAACCTGGAACTTTCCAGGGTGATACTCTGACTTTCAGGTGAGAAGATTAAAGAACAGAGAGGTTAAATGTCTGGGTCATGGTTCCTCAGAGGTAATGGCATCCAATTCAGCTTGAAACTGTTGCCAGCAAGTGTGTGAGGAAGGGGAGCATAAGACATAGAAAATGTGATACGGGGCTTCCCTGGTGGCGCAGTGGTTGAGGGTCCGCCTGCCGATGCAGGGGGTGTGGGTTTGTGCCCCGGTCCGGGAGGATCCCGCATGCCGCGGAGCGGCTGCGCCCGTGAGCCATGACCACTGGGCCTGCGCGTCCGGAGCCTGTGCTCCGCAACGGGAGAGGACGCAGCAGTGAGAGACCCACGTACCGCAAAAAAAAAAAAAAAAAAAAAAAAATGTGATACGATGCCCATCCACAAGGGTTAAATAGTCTGCTTAGAAAAACAAGACAAATAACCTGTAATTCCTAGACAAATGATACAGACTCTACCAGCTTATCACGAGACAGTTATTGGTGGGCCAGAGTGATCAGGGAGTACAACACAGAAGGTTACCCTAGGGGACCCAAAAGCTGAATTGGATTTAGACAGCAAGGAGAGCATTTCCAACAAGAAAAACAGCTTAATGATTACATGATCTTGTACAAATTACTTAACCGCTCTGAGACTCAGTTTCCTCACCAAAAATTAGGTTCTTGTTGCAAGGATTAAACGATGAAATGTATGTGTCAGGGATGTGTGGGGCTGCTAGTTGCAGAAAACCTGACTACTGTGTCTAAAACAAAGAGGGATTTGGTTTTCTTACTGAACAAAAGGCCCAGAGCTGGGTGCTGCTAGTTTTGGTTTGGTGGCTCAACAGTGTCAGAGCCAGTTTTTCTGAGATTCTCTTGTTTCCTGGCCTCAAGGTGGCTGCCACAGCTTCAGCCATCAACTCCTTGTTCAAAGCAAGAAAGAGAAGGAAACGCAGAGACAGCTGCACTCATTCATACAATAAACATATGTCAAGTGATCGCGATTTGCCAGACACCGTTGTAGGCACTGGATATAGTTGTGAACAAGACTAAAAAAGTCGTCCCTTCCCTCTTGGGTGCATCTTTGTGGGAGGAGACAGACAGTAAACAAATAGATACATCATGTGACAAGAAGCCCTAAGTGGTATGAAGAAAAAATAAAGTCGAGTAAGAAGGTAGAAAGCTTGGGGCACAGTGGAGGTTGCAGTTTTATATTATGAGGGTTGTCAGGGGATGCCTCTCTTCCTTTTCCACCAAGAAAATAAAAGCTTTCCCAGGATACCCCTTCCCCAGCTTTTCACGTTGGCCTCATGAGCCAGAACTGAGTCACAAAGCCTCCCCAAAGCTGGGAAATAGGGATGTGGATTGTCAGGATTGGTTAGACCACTGATTTCCAACCTGAGTGAGCAGTGGAATTCCCTAGAGGATTTGTTAAGCCTCAGATGGCTGGGCCCCACCCCCCGAGGTTCGGATCCGGTGGGTCTGTGGTGGGACCTGAGAATCTGCATTTCTAACAAGTTCGCAGCAGTTTGATGATGCTGCTGTTCTGGGACTGTACTTTGAGAATCACTGACTTAGACCGTGCCTGACCCATTGTCTGGGCCACGTCCATGACCCACTGAGCAAAATCCAGATTCTGTTAGCTAGGAAGTGTAGGTACTGGTCGATAACTGTCTACGATATACAGGGCACTTAGCCCAGTGCCTGCCTTATAAGTTCATAAATAAAATGGTAGCTATTATTATTATTATGGATATTGTTATTTTTTTAGAAGAACCTAAGGTTACAGTTGGGTCTGATCATGGAGGCTCTTTAACGTCAGGCAGATGGAGTCCTTGGTGTACTCTCTGGGAACTAAGGAGCATTTTGGAACAGGAGAGTGAATGATCAAATTGGCATTTTTGGAAGATTAACCAGGCATTGGGCTGGGACCTAAGAAGAAATGGTGGGAGGAGAGAGCCAGCTGAGAGTCTGTGGTGGTGATTCCAAGTGGACATTACAAGGGTGCAGAGGTCAGCACTGGTCTCTTGCCTTGTAGTCCAGGAGATATCCGTCAGCCTGTTGGGATCTTAAGGACTGATTCTCAAGGTTTAGCCCTTAATCATGGCTGATTGATTGGAAGGGAGGACCAGGAGGTCAGAGGACGGGACAGATACTCATGTTCTTTGGAAACCCTGAGAGAAGAGTGTTTCTTAGTGAAACTTGTGCTTCTCTGTGTACTGGTGGTAGCACCTGGGCCTAAAGATGTTGAGCATCCTCGTCAGTAAAACAGTGATAATAGCATCTTGTCACCTGCCCTCCCATCGAGCATACACACTGGGGAAAGAATGAAAAACCATATGTGAAAAGCCTTTGAATGAGTAAAATGCACCACGCAGGGGAAATCACATTACCACCTTTGCATATGCTTCGCAGGGTGTCTTTGACCATGTTACTGTTACTTCGGTCAGGGCCAGCACGCTGAGCTGGATGGACCACAGAGCAGTGGCCACAGGGCCTGTGTTGATACAGTCGTATTGACCCTTCCCCCTCTCCTCTCTGTCAGTTTTAGTTCTGTGACTTAGGGCAGGATTCATAACCTTTCTGAGATGCTTTAGCTATAAAGTGTGAATAATCATTCTTTACCAGCCTAAAGGCTCCATCATGGACATTTTGAGGCCATGTTTAGCTCCAGCCTCTATAGTTTTGTGATTCTGTTATTTCTAATGCCTCAGGCCTGCGCCAGACAATGATGTAAACTGATCTTGTGGGAAAACATACCCTGATATCCGTCGGTTCCGTGTTTACCTCAAACCCACATCAGTATCTGTTCTGTGTTTGGTTATCGTACAATGTTCACTAAACTGAAAACTAAGCCAGCGCCAAATAGCTCTCATTTCAGCTGCTTCCCCGTAATCCCCAAAGCTGCTGACTGCTCAGGACTCCAGCAGGCTCCAATTGTGTACAGAGTTTTCTTATTGGTCTAATTATTTTAACAGTTCACGTGATCCATTTGTCCTTCTGCTGGTACATGGTGATCTGTTGAGAGAAGCCCACTGAATATAAAGGGTTCATGGCAAGGATCACCTCTTCCCCTCCTCCGCCAAAGTTCACCCAAGCTCGGTTAGCCCTGGGGCTTCGCTGAGGAAAACCTGATTTCTGGAATCTCTTCATTGTCTTTTTGACATTTGTTCCGTGTATATCCTTCCTCACGTGAAATAATGTGTGTGAAAGGCACTGGGCGATCTGCAAAATGCTGCCCAGTGGAAGCGGAGGCCGTGTGGTGGTCAGAAACCCCATCGTGCTGCTCGCTGCCCCGGGGGCCTTCGCACAGGTTCTTCTCACCTCTCTGTCTCTCAGTTCCTGAAACAAGAAGTTAGTTGGGACTTGGTGTCCCCTCACACTTTCCCTGGCACTTACTAAGAAGCTGTCGACTAATGGACGTCCCCTCCCCTTTGCCATGTGATTTCTGTGGTGCAGGAAGGGCAGGCATGTAGTTGACATGAGGAATGAGACTGAGCTAAGAGCCCAGCTTTGTACCCCATCCAGGCCCAGCTGCACCTCTGGCCTTCCCTGCTCCTAACTGGGAGCTGGCAGCAAACCCCCTGCCCCTCTCGAGCTCTTGGGCACTGTGACTCACCCCGTGTGGTGGCGAGGGGTGACCTCTGAGACCTGGTTACAGGCTCCAAAGTTTCCTCCCGACCTTGAGCCGTCGTGTCTCCTCTGCTGACACACGCTCACGCGTGCACGGTATCCACACACCCCTCCTGGGCTGGCAGCTGGGGAAGGGTGGACTTGCAGATTTGGGTTCCTTGTTAGCATCCAGTGGGTGGGAAGGGGTGTGAGGGCACAGGTACCCAGGGGGGCCGTCCTAACTGACATCGGCACACTGAGGGAGGTGCTCGTTAACTTATTCTACGTTCCAGCCACTTCTGCTTCTTGTATTAATGACAGGTTGAAAGAGTTGGACAATCGTGAGATTGATTTTTTTTTTTAGTGCATGTTTTATGAGTTGATTTTTCCCTAGTGCCTCTCCCCTAGCTGTTCTTCCCTTTCTTTTAGTGCTGCTGTTATCATTTTCCTGCAAGGCCTCATCTGATTTCCCCAGCCCCCTTTTTCTGCAGACTTATGCCCTAGCTTGAGAACAAGAGCGCAGGGACCATCTAATTATCTGCAGATGGAGCAACTTGAGTAACTAGTTGAACAGGCCTCTGACTAGCTTTGTAGACAAGGGTAAGCTGGTTCTTCCAAACCTTGGTTTTCTGTTTGGGTTTGTTTTTTGTTTTTTTGGTATTTTTTTTTTTTGCAGTACTCAGGCCTCTCACCGTTGTGGCCTCTCCCGTTGCGGAGCACAGGCTCCGGACATGCAGGCTCAGCGGCCATGGCTCACGGGCCCAGCCGCTCCGCGGCATGTGGGATCTTCCTGGACCGGGGCACGAACCCGTGTCCCCTGCATCGGCAGGCGGACTCTCAACCACTGCGCCACCAGGGAAGCCCCCTGTTTGGGTTTTTGAACCCATCATAGAGGGTCGTGGGTCACTGGGGCTTATCTGAGGCCAGGACACTGCCACCTCCCTTCATGAGTCTGCCCCATACCTAGACCACACCCAAGTCAGCGTAGGTCCGAATGAATTGTTATTATTATAGCCACCTGACTGCACCTCACCCCCATATCTTCTAAGCTTAGGCATCAGTTCTTGAACCCTCTTTGGGTTACCCATGCTTTGAAGAGTCTGATGAAGGATAGAGCCTCTTCCCAGAAAATTGTACCTATTTGCACACACAGAGAAATGTACACATTTCTCTTCCTGGTCTTCGTGGACTGCCCCTTAAGCCTATCCTTGGACCCCTTAAGGATCCAGGAACCCCCAGAATAAGAGCCCCGTTCTAAGGAATCTTAAAGCACTCTTTATCTTCCCTCATTCCTGAAGGTGGAGAAAACACAAGAAATGGAGGTAGTAGGTAGGAGGACCTGTTGTGTATACTCTTCAAGCCTGAAATTTTCAGTTTCAAAAGAATAGTCATCTCTTTGGCTTAACAATATGGGCCAGAGAGAGATCTATGTATAAAATAGATATCACAATCAGCATGTTTCAATAAACATATGTACACTTTATATTTAACAAATATATTTATTCGTAGTGAAAAAATATGGCTAGGTTATTATAGTACAAGCTTAAAGGAAAAATTGTTGAAAATATTTTAAAGAGACACTCAGTACTGACCCCTACAGGTACCCACCCACTCCTACGTTTGCTCTTGATTTTTCCCAGCTTCTAGATAAATTATCACCATCCAGTTAAAATCTTCTTCAGATTTAACATTTGTCTGAAAAGGGTCGCATGTGTCAGAAGACTGATTTTGAATCCCTGACTCCAGTGTCTTGGACTCTTGAGAGCATTTCCCCTTTTCTGTTAATGTCTGAACCTCCATTTATGTTGCTTGGATATTAGTCTTCATGCCATCATGTTGATTTCTTTTTATATCCTCTAAAAGTCTTAATGAGCAATACTATAATATAGAGATTACTTAGTGATAAAAATACAGGTTTTGGAATCAGACAGACCTCGGTTTCCTGTCTTGGCTCCGCCACTTCTGAATGCTCTAGTCTTGGGCAATTTACTTACCCTCTCTGGCTTCCGTTTTCTCATCTGTACAACTGGAAGCCATATCTTCACGGTTCATGGGATCGCAAGCTGTATTAGTCTGCTTGGGTTCCCACAACAGAGTGCCACAGACTGGGTGACTTAAACAACAGAAATTTATTCTCTCACAGTTCTGGAGGCTAGAAGTCTGAAATCAAGTTGACCGCAGGGTTGGTTTCTTCTGAGGCCTCTCTCCTTGGCCTGTAGATTGCTGCCATCTCCCTTTGTCTTCACATGGTCTCACCTCTGTGCGTGTCTGTGTCCTAATCTTTTCTTATAAGGACACCAGTCATTTGGGATCAGGGCCCACCCTAAGCACCTTATTTTAACTTAATTACCTCTTTAAAGACCTTCTCTCCAGAAACAGTCACATTCTGAGGGGGTTAGGACTTCAGTGTATGAATTTGGGGGGACACAGTTCAGCCATAACACAAGTGTATAGTGCCTGGCCCATAGTAGGCTCAGTAAGCCTCCTTGTTATTATCTGTCTGACCATCATTTAAAAGGTACAAACTTTTAACGGAGCCCTGCATGTCTCTTTACTCTCTCAGACACACTAGACCTATTTCAGCAGGCAACCCAGCATTATGATGGGCTTACCCTGTCCTCTGTTATCAGACATGAGGCCTTTTCTTCCCTCTGCCCCAGATTCAGGATGTTATAAATCTTTAAAATGAGTCATCCTTGCGTCTCCTCTCCCCGCCCCGCCCCTCAGTCTTCTAGCACAGTGCCAGGGTTCTCTTATCTCTGTGTGGAAATTTGCTCACCGGCCGATTGTGAACTCAGGCATTGCCTTCACCTTCAAGATGACTGGTCCCGGCTGGCTTCTGTTCCAGCCATTTTTATCTGATTCTCCATCTCTGGCAGCGGCCGCTGTGCCTTGATTCAGAAACTGCCCTTGTCATATCTGAGCAAGTGTTACCCAAGGCCTCAGGTGACTGTCCGTGGCCTTCTCCCCCTCCTCTGCTGCTCTCAGGCAAGGGGCAGAGGAGGCCCAGAGGGTCTGCGGGGGACAGCTTGTCCACGTCAGCACCCCAGAGGGCCAGTGTTCAGGCACCCGCTGGCATCCCAGCAACAACCTTGTCCCCAGGTACCGTGGCCCGTTCAGTTTGCTCTGGGCTCTTCCCAGTTCCCCAGAGAAGCAGCTGGAGGAGCTGTGTCCCTGGGCAACTGAGAGCCTCCTGAACGCTCCCTTTTGCCCTTGTTTTTCTCTTTCAGCTGCAGTGCCGTGACTCTGAGCAAAGCCTGGGTGCCTGAGCAGCCACCGTGCCAGCAGAGTGCAACCTGCAGAACAGCTGATCACCTCCAGAGATGGAGCAAGCGTGTGCGTGTGTGTGTGTGCGCGTGCGTGTGTGCCGAGGAAGGAGTGCCCGCCTGTTTGCATGTGCATGTGTCTACACTCTTGTGGTTCCGAACACTGCCTGGGCTGGAGGAGTACCTGTAGCAGCTTACCTCAGCCTCTGGACACCAGGCTAGAGGTCATGGCAGTGACTTTCACCCCAGACCTGTCCCTGTGAGCCAGCTGCCTTGTCTGAATATTAGAGTGGTGGGACCTTAGCTGGGATCCTGGCATCTGCCCCCCCAACCCTCCCTCCCTCCCTCCCTCCTCATGTCAGACTGCCAAGCAGGGGAAGCATTTCTGGCTCTTGTCCAGAGTGTGGGACTCTAGCGGCAGCTAGGGTTCTGCTGAGTTCCTGGGCAGGCTGGAGGGGACGGGTGTGTCCAGACATAGTCACCTGGCCTGGCTTCTTATTTTAAAATTCCCTGCCACTGGGTTCTCCGGACTCTTCCTTGGGGAGCTGGGACTGAGCACGCGGCTGTAGACAGATCTGGAAACTTTGCATCATCGTGCAGAAGTACAGCCAGGCGCCTGACTGGAGTGCTGCATGCACAGTATCATAGATGATAGCTGAGAAGAACATCTCCCTCTTCGGGGCTGAAAACCTGAGGTTAGAAGTAGAAGGCCGGCTCTCACTACTGTTCCCCAGAAGCTGAGAGCCGGCCCCAAAGCTGACTGGAGGCTCAAGTGCCTCCACCGGGAGGAGGCCAGGTTCCTGGTGGCAGAAAGCCCCATGGCGCCTCCCGCCACACTCCATGGCATCTCGGTGCTGCCACCGAGCTCAGCTGACACCAGCCAGGGAAGCCATTCTAGTCTGCGCTCTGAAGGATTCCACAGCCTGCCCGGGGCTGGTCAGCAACCAAGCTGCCACACCAGCTCTCCCAGTAGCTGGACATCAAAGACCCAGGCAGGTGGACTGCCGGGGACAGTTGGGAAAGACCCAAGCCGAGATCCCACCCAGCGCACCAAGCCTTCCGGAAGCAGCAGGTGGGAGGTTTGACCCAAAGAAGCCAAGGCCTTGCATTCTAGAGGCAGCCTGTGCCTCCCACCTCAGCCTTCCACGGTCGGGGCTGTGCTGAGAAAGACACCATGAAAAGGAGGGCTGTGCGGTCAGCTGGAGCAAGTCTTCCTTCCACCCATGGCCTGCACTTGAGCCACAGCGTGTGTGTGTGTGCGTGCGTGCATGTGTGTGTGTGCACGTGTGTGTGTGTGCGTGCGTGTGCGTGTGTAGCTGAGAGGCCAGTTCCTCTTGGGATCGTTGTCCTCACACGTAACATTAAGCTGGCCTCTGGGCCTTCTCCTCTCTACCTCCCCTGTGACCTTCGCCGGCCTCAGAGCTGTTCATTCCCTTGGCCCCAGCCCTGCCCTTCACTGTCCTCTGTCCTGGGACCAGAACCCTGGGTCAGGCCCCTGCCTCCTACATCTGTCCAGCACATCGACAGGCTTCTTCCTGAGACGTCCTCAGGCTTTCTCAGCCAGAGAGCTGCCTTTAGAGTCCAACTGTTGTATGTATGTCACCCTCACTAGAAATGTCCCATAATCATGTGGGGAGAACAGGGCACCAGTGATGGCTTTTTCTGCAGCATTGGGTTGGGGGCTTCACTGTTCCCTTAGCCCCAGCCAAGAGGAAAGAGAATCGGGGGCTATTGTCAGAAGGAGAGTAGAGCAAGCCTGGAAGGGCTAGTCTGAGAAACTGAGAAGGCCAGAGGGCTTAGGGCCAGAGTCAGTATTTATTTAGCAGCACCTTCACATGTCAGGACGATTCCCTTTTCCTGCCCATTTAAGGATGGTTCTCTTCCCTAAGGTACAAGTTGGCAGGACCTCCTCCCCCTACATCTCCACCATCCCTGGCATGCGTCCACTCCGGAGCTGGGAGGGGCAGGGTGAAGAGAGGGTGCATCCAGTGGCCTGGAGCTCCACAATCGCTTCGCGCCTCCCGTCTCCTGGCCCAGGTGTCCCTGGGGGCTCCTGCAGAGCATTGCCCCAAATCCTGATCCAAGGACCAGCATGGGGAGATGGTGGCAGGCCAAATGCACTTTATACAGAGATTTTCTATTGCTGGGAAGGTGTGTTTCTGCCACAGTTTGTGAATATTCATGTGTTCCATAAATGTCTGATCCTGTCTGAGCAGAGTTGTGCTGTTGTCAGTTTTGCGGGAGGTCTGGGGACTGGGAGGCAGTGGGGCTTAGCCCGCGTGAAGCCTTAGGTCAGACCGTCTTGGTTCTGCTGAACCAGGAGCCTCTCAGCCACTTTGGAGGTGGCAGGGAGGAGTGGATGGGAGATGGAGGATCGGGGAGGCTCCTAGTTGAGCAACTGGAGCACCTAGTGGTGTAAACTCCAGAGCTTGGTCAGCGTTGGAGGTCAGTCGGCCATAATGGTACAGAGCACGCCAGGGCCAGGATGCGGTTCCTGAGTGCTGTTCTGCAGTGACCCAGCCTCTCGGCCCACTTAAACACCCCCAGGCTGGGGATCAGTCAATGGCAGGGCCCCCCCAGGCGCTCAATCCATTCTTTACCTCAGCTCAGCCACGTAAGCTGCAACTGCTTGGTGCAGAGGGGATGCTACGTGGCTCTGGCCACGGAGTCAGATCTGCCCACAGACAAGCCCAGAGCCTGGATGCTGACTTTGTCTCGTGCCATCTGGCCAGAGCGGCCCCTCTCTACGGTGTGCATGGGCTTTCCTGTGAGGGTGTCTAGTCTTGGACCCCTGGACATGAGAGCTTTGTTAGCCCACACCCCAAATTCCTGTGGGGTGGGGTTCGGGCCAGGCCAAGAAAATCACAAGCTGCCTTGCACAGAGCGAGAAAGGGGAAAAGGAGGAACTTGACCCTGGGACGCGTCTCATTCTCAGCTCTGCTTTGAAGCTCCTGATGGCCCCCTTCCCATTGACACCTGGGCCTGGCCTTCCCTCTCTCCCTTCTCCTGGCTTCTCTCTAATGTGGCTTTGGTTTGGCCACGGAGGCTAAGATACCTTTGTTCTTGAGCAAGAGATTCTGGAAGATGGAGTTTTCCTACACACACACACACACACACACAGACATGCGCACGCGCGCGCGCACGCTCCTGACCCGAGGAGGCTCCCTAGTAGAGAAGCACACACTCTAAGGAACAATTATTAGCCACTATGGCAAAATTGCTTCCCTGGGAGGAAAAGTCAGCACCATAGCAGCAGGTGGTTACCATTTGGGTGTAGTGAAAGGAGCCTGAGCCAAGACAGGAAAGGTAAAGTGTCCCCTCTGGGCCCAGGGGCAGGGAGAAGAGAGGCAGCAAGGCCTTCGGCTGTAAGTATTGAAATGTTCTCAGGGCTGGAGCTCGGGGGCTGCTTACTGTGGGACAGGTGCCTGCCGCTCCTTTCTGGGTGCTAATCGAAGGGTCGTGCCACTGGGTGGCACAACCAGTGGGCAGTCTAGATTTGCAAATAGGATTCCACAGCTGTGAAGCAGTTTGCTCTGCCCCTTCTTCAGAAGGACAGGACCTCTGTGGTTCTCAGCTGGCCAGACAAGCCAGTGAGGACTGGCCAGAGGCTCTATGACCCACCAAAGCTGGGGGCCTCGCCGTGGCCAGCAGCCCAAGTATCCAGAAGTCCATGCTCCGTGAAAGAGCTCACAGGCTTAGTCCTCTTAGGGGAGAGAAGACCAGGAGGAGCCATGGCCCAAACCTAGCAGGGGCAGAGGTGCTGGGAGGAGCAGGAAAACCACCGGAAGAATCCCAAGAAGTCAACTGTGGGGGCAGGAGGACAGGCCCCAAGTCTGAGAACGTGAGAAGCTGGCTATGGGGCGTCTGGGTGCACAGAGGGGGTGCTCGGCAGGAAATGCAACTGAGCTGCTAAATGAGAGGGAGAAAGCAGAAAGTCCTGACACAGGGAGGAGAAGCTGAGAGTCAGAAGCCAAAAGGGAGGGTTCAATTCACCATTAGAGGTGTTTGGGGCTGAAGGGAGACTTGAGTCAATCTTCAGTGAGGAGACACTCTGGGGAGAGTTCTTGGGACAGAGGGTCCCCTCAAGGTAAGGGGACAGGGTGGGGTTAGCCCTGGTTCCCAGCTGGAGGTGGGGCGTTCCCAGCCTCCAGTGACAACACATTTGTATTACATTTCATCCTCACAACCGTGAGATGGACCATTATTGTCCCCATTTCACAGATGAGAAAAATCAAACCTTAGGACTTTTGTCACTAACGCAAGGCCACACCACCTATTCACTTGGAGAACCAGGCTGTGATTTCACACCACCTGACTCCAAATCTGTCTGCTCTAGGAGCCAACTCCCAACACCCACTCGCCTTTCTCTGCCTTCCTCCGTGACCCTCATTTCCTGACCCTCATTTCCTCGCCTGCAGCTAGGGGGTCAACTAGGGTCCTAGGGACCAGGGACCCACCATTAGTTATTCGATACCCAGGCGCTAGGCCCACACCGAGAAGCAGAGCCCGCATGGGCACGGAGGGCTTTGAGGGAGGAGGAACTGGGCAGAGGAGTCGGTGTGGGATTTAGGGCGGGGCTGGGCCAAAGCCGGGGACCAGGGGCGGAGACTTCAGCACCTTGGAGAGAGCGCGCGCGGGGGGGCGGAGCTCGCGGGGCAGGGGGCGGGGCGCACGAGACCCCGGCACGGAACCCGGGGGCGCGCGCGGTGGCGCTCGCGCCAGTCCCGAGAGCGGTGCGCGGTCTGGAACTGCGCCCTGCCCTGCGCAGGTGCGCCCGCCGCTCCCTCCCCAGCCCTTTACCCGCGGCGGCGACCTCTCGCCGCGCCCCCGCCTCCTTCCCCTCCGCCGCCGCCGCCGCCGCCGCCGCCTCCGCGCCGCGCTCCGCCCGGATGGCCAGGGCTGTGCGGGAGAATGGCGGAGCGAGAGAGCGGCGGCCTGGGCGGGGGGGCCGCGTCCCCGCCTGCCGCCTCCCCGTTCCTGGGGCTGCACATCGCGTCGCCGCCCAATTTCAGGTGAGAAACTCCGGCCGCCGCGACCCGCCCTTCGGCCAGGATTGACCTGCCCGGGCTCCCCCACCCCCGTGCCCCCAGCTCACAGACCCCGGGAGCGAGAGGGCGGCGTGGGGATGGAGTCTCCTTCCGAGACAGAGCGCCCAGAGCCCCCCCTCAGCCTCAGGTCCGGACTGATGGCCGCTGCATATCCGTGGTGCGGCTGCCTCCGCCATTCCGTGTCCTAGGCGAGGAGATCGTGAGCTGGAATTGGAGGAGTGGGCGCGGAGGCCGCCTTCTCCCCGACGTTGGGCTGCGGCGAGGCCTGGCGTGCGCGTTGAGATCCCGGAGGAGGCAGGCCGTCTGGGGCTTTGCCTGTGCCCAGTCAGAAGGCTTCTGAATAGAGATGGGAGCAGGCCGGGGTGCCCCGCGGGTCCCAGTTTCCTGGGGCGACCGACAGCCTTGGTGCAGGAAGGAGGGAGTCGTAGGCCCCTCCCCCAGTCCTGCTTGGCCAGAGGGGCCCAACTCCCAGGCCTGGCGTGGCCAGGACCCTCCGTGGACTGGGGCAAGCCCTGATCTGGTCAGGTGTGTGCAGGTGCAGAAGGCCCTGGTCAGGTGTGTGCAGGTGCAGAAGAAGGCCCAACCCCGAGATCCTAGGCCCGGCTGTGGCAGAGAGGGAGTCGGGTTTGGAGCACCCAGGAGTAGCCAGGGGTATTGGTGGGATGGTTCCTGCTGGGGTAGCTACCCAGGACCCTGATCTGAGCTGCTCCTTCACCTCTCTCCCTGCCCCCATCTGGTGTTAGGCAATTGGGAGGTGGAGTTCAGAGAGTGGCAGAGGGTGTTGTGGGAGAAGGGGTGAACGTCCCTCCCTCCTAACCTGGCCCTCCTAACCCGGCCGGTTGGAGAGGAGGAAGAGGAGGGTGTCACTGCTCCAGAGCCTCCGAGAAAGAGGACTCGGCATTCCCCATTGTTTCTCCAGCTAATGAGCTGGCGCCTTCCCTTCTCCTGGGGCCCCCACCCCAGCCAGGCCCCAGCTGGGCTCTGGCGCCAGCCCCTCTTCAGACCAAGGGGTTGCTGGCTCCCGGCCCTCAGGTGGGCGGGGACCCCTGGGAATCTCTAATGGCATCATCAGGACTAGAAACCTCCCCCAAGGCCCTGAGCTGGGCTGGAAGAGCCCAGAGGGAGGGGACCAGATGGAGGAGGCCAAGCCTGAAGGCTCCAGGGCCGGGGACTTTGGGGTTAGTGCCTCAGAGTAACGGGGCTGAGGTCTGAGACTGACCCCACTGACATGAAACACCGCCTCGACACAAACGCTGCCTCCCTTCCAGGAGACCCCTCTGTAGTGGGAGAGCACCGAGCTTAGACAGGCCTGGCTTCAAATCCTAGCTCCACCACTTTCTAGCTGTGTGACCTGGGCAGCTTCTTGTCTTTTCTGAATCCCATCTGTTAGGTGAGCTAATTAATATTGATTCCTTAATGTGCGTCAAGCGGGCGCTCAACAAGTGTCAGCCCTCCACACCAGCGGGCGTTTAGATAGCTCATTACGGCTCAAAGCGTGTTCCCTGTGCTGGCTCAGGTCACCCTCACAACCACCCTGGGCATGGGCATGGGCCCGCCCATTTTGTAGATGAGGAGACTGAGGTTCAGGAAGGTGGGGTGGCTTGCCCGAGGACCCCAAGGGAGTCAGAGCCTGAGGCTGCACTGGAACCAGGGTCTGCATGTTCATTCCACTCTACCTCCAGGCCCTGCCTCTGGCCCAGAGGACAGCTTGGCCCCCCCTACCGGCTACCCCATCCCCAGGTGACAGTGCTTCCCGTTCCGCCCCAGCCCTGGCAGGCAGGTTACCATGGACGCCTTAGGGAGAGGAGCTGACGAGGCGGGCCAGCCAGGGAGTGTGTCCAGCCCTGGGCCCGGTGGGCGAGAGTGGCAGTACGCCAAGGCTGAGGCGTGGGCCCGCCCTCCAGGACTCCTCGGCCTGGCCGCGTGTGGGAATAATAAAGGCAGTGTCTCCAGCCCCTCAGGGCCCGCCCCGCCGGCTCCCCCTCCCGCCTCTCCCAGACCGCTGGTGTAACCCCTGGTGGGGACTGCTCTCCAGTGGCTCTGGCCTGGGTTTCAATCCTGGCTCAGTCCTCTTAGCCACGTGCCAGGAGTGGGTGCTGAATGGCCTGAGTCTCTGTTTCTCCTCCACAACGCCGACTTTGGCCCCTGCTCAGGGCGGCCCTAA